CCCCACTGGCTATATAAGCAAGGGGTGTGGCATGTGAAGTTTCGTGACGGACAATTTTTGATGGATATTCTGTTGCAAGCTCTCTGGCAAGTTATTGTGGAGTTATCTTTGTTTGCTGTGTCTTATCAGTAAAGGCTTGGCAGGCAGCTACGCAGTTGCTGCCAAGGAATTCATTTGCCTTTGTCTGTGCCGAGCAGTTGTTCAGGCCTCGGCTGCCTGGTTGGGGGGTGTGGGTCGGACGGGGGACAGAACAGGGAATTGTGATTCGTCTGGTCGTTGTTGTTCCTGTTGTAGTTGTTGTGTTGCCTTGGGTGTTTGCATTGTTTGTGTGTAATGATCTCCGGATGAGGTTTCGTGAGTATCCGTTCCCTTGAAGACTTTGTATAAGTGTTCTTGTTCTGCTGATCTGGCTTCCATGGTGTTGCAATGGGATTCCACTTTTCCAATGCAGCTTTGTTTGTGGCCTTTGGGGTGGTTGCTGTGGAAGTTGAGGATTTGATCTGTACGTGTTGTCTTCCTGCACACGGATGTTAGTAGTTGGCCATTGGTGGTTCTGGTTACAAGGACATCCAGGAAGGGCAGTTGTTGTTATTCTTGGTTTCTATTGTAAATCGGATGTCTGCGAAGACGTTGATTCTTTGGTAGGTTTGGTCGATTCTTTGGTAGGTTTAAAATAGATGTCTATAAAAATATTTTATTAAATCAACTGTCAATACAATTTGTACTCAATTTTTTGTTCCCTTTTCTTTCTTAGCTTTTGAATTGTTTTCATTCTTTTAAAGCCACTGAATTGTGTCATGAACAAAAATCTGTATGGTAAAAGAGATGGGAATATTGCCCTTCTTCCTTTCCTCTATTCCTGAGTGGGATACTTGCAGATTTATTTTCCAGATGTGAAATCCGCCCATGATCAGGCCAACATCATTTATTGAAAGCATGTACAGAGCTGGAAAAAGCTCTGAAAAGAATAATAAAGATGATTGGGGAAATGGTTTCTTCTGCCTACCCTTTCACAATGAGAATTTCTCTTATATCTCACTCCGTATGGAAGCCTGTTTGTTTGTTTGTTTATTTGTTGTGCAAAAGTTCAGAACATAAATATTAATATTTTAGTTTCATCAGATCACAGAACAATCCAACTCTTTTGAATTTGGAAGAAATAACCCTTTTGAATAGGCTCAAATCAAAACACATTTTGTGTTTCCCACACAGTCACAACAAAGAAACACATTTGGGTTCCAGCCATTTGTCTTCGCACTATTTCAGAGCTTCTTGATTTTGCTGCCACAAACTGACTCAGCTGTCTTTGTGAAACTGGAACAAATGTCACACAAATCAATTCAAGATAGAGACCAAGACCCAAGGTTTCACAACTTTAGCAGCCTCTATACTGTTCAACCTGCCCAGGTTTTTGTCTTAAACTCACGTACATATCACATCTATTTTGGACCCTATTTTATTGTTTAGATATTTTGCAGGAGTCTCTTGAAGAAGCGGTCCAAACATAGTGTGTTTGTCACTGCATTAAAAATATTTCTTATTTCCTCTGCTCCGTATTTATTTTAGATTTTTTTTAAAAATTGGATTTTCTCTCTTAATTTTTTTTAATTGGAAATGAATAGGCTTATTATTCCTTTAATATTTATTAAAATTAAATGTCAATTTTAAAATATCTTTTCTGTACTTTATAAATGACTAATGAGAGATTTTAATCCCTGCTGTCCATGAGCTAATGGAGTTGCAACTCAGTGGAACAAATTTGTTTCTGGTTTGCAACTTGCGCATCTCCCAACTTCTCTCTGGAACCTTGACAATCCACATTAAGGAAAACACTATTCTTCTGGAACTACTTACTTTCCATTTGAAATGCAGAGTTTTCTTGCCTCTGAAGACCTCCAAAGCAAAATATTTCTATGAACTTTTCAGACTAAAAAAGTCCTTTAAACAACTGCTGGTTTCTGCTTGAGAATTTCCAATATTCAGTCTCCGTTATATTTAACTTCTTTTGCAAAGCCGTATTTTATATGGTTTGTTAAAAAAAAAATTAAAAATAGGTTTATCAGTATATTAACCCTGAGTATTCTAGTGTTCTTTTTTTCTGAATCTAATTATATTCATTTAATTAAAAGGATGGTAGGATTTATACCTTGGGTAAGCTTTTGTTAGTTTAGTGCAGTGATTTGTCATTGCATTTCCTTTTTACCTCTGCAAATTTGTGCATTTCAGATTTTTGCTCTGTTCCACTCCAATAGAATAGAATAGAATAGAATAGAATAGAATAGAATAATAACT